TCTAGAAGTGAACCAGGTTTTACTTACAGTGCTGTTTTGTACTGCTGAGGCTTGTTGTGCAGCCCAGATTGCTTTCATCGTTTCATAGCCAAAAAAGCCTGCTGATGGGTCTGTCAGAAAATTGCAGGCAGACTGGTTTGTACGTATGTCAACATACAGGCCTTAAAACAGCAGATAATCTTACACCATCATATTAATGTGGTTTTGCTTATTATTAGCAATTACAATTATTATTGAGATAACCAGTAGCTAATACAGTCTGTTTAAAAAGCAAATACAAATTGGTAAGGGTGTCAGCTTTCACATCCTGACTTCATTAGGCATAACACTGTGTCCTCCTTAGTCCTTTTTCTAATTCATCTTTATGAACTATGAACCCAATTAACCTTTAGGACCCTGTGATATAACAAAAAATGTTCTGAGCAGTAGTTTTTTAGAAATGAAAAAGGCAAAGCAAGTGTGTATATCCTTAAGGCAAAGAGCAGTGCCTCTCTGACAAGGATCAGGCTGAGAGTGCACTGCATTTCCTAGAACCTGCAGAGTAATCCCTTTCCAGAAGCTGAGGATGAAGCTTGATAAAGCATTTTGTTCACACCTTTTATGTTTCCTGGTGGCTGTATAATTAAAAAAAAAATTCCTTGACTCTTTGGTGTCAGGCACTGAACATGCATAGGTTAAAGTTTTTCCTTGATGCCTGTATTACAATGTTGCATGCTCTGTATACCATGCACTTACTGGAGGACTTCTCTGTGGCTAGAGGGTTGTTTTTGTGAAAAAATTAGTTTCAAAATTCATGCAGAGTTTTTTGCACTTGACAGGTGGCAAGGATAGTAGAAGTTTCTGAAGAGATGAGGAGGATTATGGGAGGGAACTCCGGTCTTGAATTGATTACCTTGCCTTACGGACACCAGCTGCGCCTTGACCTGATTGAGAGGTAAATGTTCCTGTTCCTCATTGCCAGGGCAGATGGCCAGAAGCTCCAAGCATGGCTGCATTGTCCTCATTTCCTTCAAGAATGCTCTCCTGCATTCTTCACATGTACGGATTATTTACTGTATTGGTATGTAAATTCGTTTTGAATAGGAAAGGATTCCTTAAGGTCATAAGGCAACTGTCACATGTAGTACAGGGAAAGGGGAAAGGTGTTGAAAGCAGAGTCCTTGGAACAGCTGAATGCCATCAGCTCTCCTTTACAAGCTCAAGTAAACTAAAATTCAGGGGACCTATCATGTGTCTGAGCATGTAAGGGTGTGGAGGAGCCTGAAAGGTCCTTCTGCATGTGGCAAGAGGCTAAAGGATCTAATAAAGTAAAACACAATCAGCAAAGCTTTCTGAAAAACCTCTGCACAAGTTAAGGGGAACACTTAGGGTGTTCTGATCTACATTTTCTACTTTATATTTCAGTAGGTTGATTGCTGAGTTTTTTTGGGGGGGGGCAGGTCACAGGATTTGAATGTGGAGGACAAAGGGAATTGGGGCAATTTTCCCAGAAGATTCATTCATTCATTCATTCATTGCTCAAGCAGAATTTTCTATAGATAGTAGTACCTCGGGAGAATGTATTTATTCCATATATCATTATTGGTTTTGGTGCAAAGATGTTGGTCAGACTAAGTTTGCTGGGCATGCCAAGCTAAAAATACACTTTTGAACTGATCTTTGAACACATGTAAATTTAATAACTTGTAATTGGTCACATGAATTGTTTCACTTACAGGCACAATACCATGGCAATAGGAATAGCTGTTGATATCTTGGGTTGCACAGGAAATGTAGAAGATCGAGCAGCAACATTAAACAGGATCATCCAAGTTGCTGTGGAGTTGAAGGAGTCACTAGGAGATTTATATGGATTTTCTGCCATTATGAAAGCACTGGAAATGCCACAGGTAAAAATCTGTTTCTCTGTGTGGAACTGTTTGACGGCTTATTTAATTTAATTTGAGTCATTTCTTCAAGACTAGAGAGAACATCAGAATAGTCTTCTACGACTCTGTGACTAGCAGTGTACTTTTCCTGCAGTGGAAGCAATAATGGATATTCTCTATTTTGCATGCACAGGTCAGCAGATTAGAACAAACCTGGACGGCTCTAAGACATTGTTATACCCAGACTGCCATTATGTATGAAAAACAGCTAAAACCAGCTTGCAAAGCATTGCATGAAGGGCAAGATGAGTGGACTAGTGAGTATGAGTGACACTGATTTCTATTTGGCATTTTAACCCTCCCCCTACTGATTTCCTGTGTGGGGATATTAGGCAGCTGCTCTTTCCACAGCTGTGCATTGTGTGTTAAAATGATGATGTAAACTTGTTTAATGCCATATGATTATGAATAGAAGCAAGCAGTCTGCCAGCCAAACATCAGTATGTGTTTGTGAGCCTGTATCCCTGCAGAATATAACATTCTTCCCACACTCCTACTTCCTCTGTGCCGAGCAGAAACTGACACGTTGCATCATGTTACCACAAAAACAGGGTAAAAAAATCTCTCTCCTCACAGGAGAATTAATTCTGGCATATTTTTCTTCTTATTTGTTTTGTCTATTAGATGAGAGGATGAACCCTCAAATAAAATGAATGGCTTAGGTAATTCTGGTCATATTAGGTGCCCCTATGCCAGATTCACTGCAGCTTTAGTTTCTAAAGGGATGCAAGGCAGAGAAAATTTCTCAGAACATTTCTCCAAGAGAACAGGTAGACAGTGAAAACTTTTTAGCCCCATGGATATTTTTATTGGAATGACCAATTTTGAAAATATTTAAAATCTCTGTGCCAGTGTCTAGTAATTCAGCAGAACTTTCCTCTGTAGCAAATGCAGCTTTCCAACACCAGTTTGTGTTGGTCTTCTTCCCCAGCCAGTTCACTGGAAACTGGTATATGTAAAATAAATATGTAAAATAACAGGTATATGTAAAATAAAGTTTTTGAAGGGTATTTGTCCTCATTTGAAAGATGGAAGACAAATAGAAGTTTCCAACTTAATAAAAGAACACAGCAGTTACAAGACCTTCTTCAATTAACAATAATGTCTGATGATATGAGATACATGATTGTTACTCTCTTCCAGAAACCATCAGCGCTCCACAGAACAACATAACAGTGCCACTGCTGATGCCTCTCGTGACGCTGCTGGAGCGCCAGGCTGTTGTTTTCGAGGGCACGGAGCAGTGGGAAAGCAGTGACCAGAGCGGTGAGATAATGCTCAGGCACTTGGGCACGGCGCGCCTGCTCGCCCAGCACGCCGAGAGCTTTCGCCTGACGGCAGAGCGGCTGCTGCAAGGTACGACACACAGACAGACAGACTGACAGACTGACAGACTGCCCCACGGGCCCTGGCTGCCAGAGACAGCAATGCTTCTCCTCTTGGGCAGGAGCTGAGAGAGTAGCAAATGTCCTGCAGGAAACGCAGCCTGAGGACAACATTAATATTGTTTAAAAGCAGACACTAAATTACTCATCACTACAGCTCTCCAGCAAGGATTTTTGCTAAACATACTTGAAGTTCCCATGACTCAATATGCTGACCCTTCTGGCAACTGAACAGAAGTACAGTACAGACTGAGGATAACTTCCTGTCTTCTGTGCAATCTAAAATTCCTACTCTGATTATCACAACTGAAATACCACCCTAAGATTCTTTACAGCAGTGCAAGTTGCAGCACTGAGATAGTGACCACTTAACAGCCAGAAAGCAGCAACATGTAACAATGTGACCTAACTTTTCCACTGCAAGTTTAAAAAAATAAAAGGAGCGGGAGAAGTATAGTCATTTCTGCAGGCAGCGTATGTAAGTAATTATATTTAAGGTCTGACTCTAATGACAATTCTAAACATTAGAACTAAGCAAGGCTAGTCTATCCCAGTGTCCTTAGAGCCATCAGTGTTACTAGCATGTCAAAGCTGGAAAGAATTTTCACTGTTTTACGAGCTTGTTAAAAGCATTGTGCAAAAGGAACCCAGTGCCCTACAGATTATTTGGAGAGAAGACAGTTTAAAAGCCATTGCTACAGAATAAAAACATTTGCCTGGTGCTGATACTGTGGGATTCTTTTTACTTACTAGGTTTCCAGCCAGATGAAGAACTGAGTGAAATCTTCAAGACAGAATTTCAAATGAGATTGCTCTGGGGCAGCAAAGGAGCACAAGTTAATCAAAGTGAAAGATACGAGAAATTCAACCGGATCTTAACTGCACTTTCCCGAAAACTGGAACCTCCTCCAGTGAGGCTGGTGGAACAATTAAGCATATAAGACTCTGGAAACACTATTTAAGTGATATACTTGAAATAACCTTAGCAGTCTTCTGGCAATTTGATACTGCACAAACTTCTTGCATTTCACAAGATGTTTAGAACTTTTAACTGCACAATGCACACTTGTTTTAAAACTACTGATTGCTAAACAAATTATTTATTTACTGTGTCACCAAGTCATATACTGATCCCCTTAAACAGTTAGTTATTCCCTTTATTTCCCCAGAGCTGCAATGTTTTAATGATGCCAAGGAGTAAGGGAATTGGCATCTTAATATTAAAGATGAAGCAAATAGTGTAAATAAAATGACAGATTAATTATCTGACATGGCAGAAAATTTGTTGTATAATATTCCTTTACTGAATATAAAAAACGCTGTAGATAGAATTGTGAAGTGTATCTTTATGCAAAGTAATTTGCATATTTACAAATCACAGAAACACTGCAAGTTGCAGCAATAATCCTTTATCTGTAACCAGAAGGTTCAAACATCACTGTGCCTATGAAACTAGAAAATTAATCTTTGTATGTTGGGACAACTTCCCCTTTTTTTTAAGACAGCATCTGTAGTACTTCAGCTTTTGCTGGGGCCTGCACAACAGCTATGCTGCCAGGAATGAATGATGAAATGGCAAAAAACAAACAATCCAGATAATTAAAATGCTTTCAGACATGAGTAAACGTGGGTGTATGTATGTATTAAACTTGCTTCATTTACTGAGGTGAATCACTTGGGTAAGTACTTTTTCCTTGGATGAAGGCAAAGAATAAGGTGTTAGCACTTTTTATAGGAAATCAGCATGCACACAGTTTATTATACAAAGAGTCTTAGCAAATCCCACTTTGTTATATACAGAATAAGGGCTCTCCTCAGACATTTAATATTTAAATATTTAAGAACTACAGTAGAGCTGCATGTGTGTGTTGTCAGTATGCCTATTTCTGAAGTGAGATGTTACTGAATCAAAGTACTGAGCTAGGATGACAACCAAATCAACACCAGAATCTGTTCCTCTTATCTACAATCACAGCAGAGGTTTTTACCACCAGAACAAGAGTTCACAGACCTCACACTGAAAGTCAATCTTAACAGAAGACAAATGTGGAAGCTCATTACTTAGACCATGAAAAGATTTTTTTATTCCATGAAAATATTCTCAACAGAGAACACTATTTTTAAACAAAGCATTTAACATTTAGGAAATCAACATGTGCACAAAAAAGGATTAAAAAATTACTGGAAAATGCCTGATTCTTTAAGACAACTCACGTTCAGAATTTTAGAATACGTAATTTATAAGCTGTGCAAGTACAAATGCTTTTTCCTATGTTTAAAAACCCTCATACAAGTTGCACTATCCCTCTTGAAAGCAACCTGCCTCCAAAGGAAGCAAATCCTGGTTTCAGAAAAACAAACAGTAGTGTGAAAAGAACATTTAGTCTTTCACCAGGAAGTGTTATTACTGACCTCCAAGGCTGTTAGCCAGGCAGACCACAGGCCCTTAACCAGAAAATACACAGATCACATTTCTTCCTCTTCACAGAATTACAGAATCACAGAATATTCTGGGTTGGAAGGGACCCACAAGGATCACTGAGTCTTTTTTCCAAAAAAAAAAAAAAAAGCACTAGATTTTAAAAAATGGAAAGAAAAAAAAAGAGAAAAAAAAAAAGAAAAAAACAACCCCAATCCCAACGACCCCCCCCAAAAACCCCAAACCCAAAAAACTACCTAAGTAGTTTTGTCAGTATTGAGTAATGTCACATTATTATATAAATAACCCTGTATACAAGCTCCAAAAATCTAAACTTTAGAGTTTAATAGGCCCCATAGTACACTAGGTCAAGCTGTGTAATAGTGGTATACATAACAAAAGGAATAAACCTCTACACAAATCACTCAAATTCAGTTTTACTGGTAGTACAGTTCCTAATAACACTGAAATGAAAAAGAATCCAGCACTGCTGCATCCACATATTGCTTCATACCCCAGAAAAACAGGATGTTTCAATTATTATTCCATAATACACTGCCAAACAGCAGGTGGCTGGGTTGACAAGCTTGTGTTGATGTAAGTATCCCTCCCCCCAACATCTCTAGTCTAATTCTTATCACCCTAATCAATCAGATATGATGCATTTATTAATAGAACCACAAATGGGAAGCAAGACAACATAAGCAATAGGGGCACTGCAGACAACTATATTTACACGTATAAACATATCCAAATTTCAATTGTTTACAAGTAAAAGTGCACAAAGATCATGACGAAGTATCACTCAAATGTCACCTGGTCCATACAATGAAGCATCACCTGGAAATGGACTAGCACTGCAGTAATTGAAATTGGAACGTCGTAGTGAAAAACTAAAAGACAGTTTCCATAAAAATCTTTTAAAAAAATATTAAAGTCAAATGAAGAGATACACGTTTCAATGTATAAAATTCATGGATGCACCATGTATCCAGTAAAGTAGAGCTCTAGAAAACCTACCGTGGCTACCTCAGCAGCTGCAGCACTGTGAGAAGAGCTGAGACACAAAGCCCTTTGTGGGATACTGTAAGTGGTAGTGTTGGCAAACAACAGATTTAGGCACTCTAGTTTAAGGCAGCAGTTGAATGGCAAGTGGTTGACTTCTGAAAACAGTCATTAGCTTGCAGTGGTGAATCCTCTGGTTGTGCTCCAGGCTGTCAGTGCTCACAACAGGTTACTGAAGGGCTGAAGATGGACCACAGTTCTCGGAGTTTCTCTTGATTGCATTGTAGGCTAGAGCTGAGATGCATTATTTCCCCAAATTAACAGAATACCTTACAGTTGCTTATCAGTTATGCCAAACATCTGGAATGTAATGATGGTTGCAGTGGTATTGTTATAGCAGCATACATGGATACTGGGATGAAACTCTAGTGCTGAAGATATTTAAAGAAAATGATTTGTTACAAAATAAGACAAGCAATGATGGCCAAGTGTTACACAGAACATGCCTGACTGTCCTAGGCATGCAGGAGGAGGTTAACGGCGAGCATGGAGGTGGCACAGGCAGACTGATAACTGACACAGGGCTCTACATGACTGCCAATAAAAGTGAGGTGGAAAAGAGCATAACTGAGAAAATCAAAATGTAGCACAAGCTAAAATATAGTTTGTGCACCTGGGACAACCTAGGACAATGAAAATAAAGCAATTTTAGGAGCAGTTGCCTTTTTACTCTGGTAATGGAACTCTATTTTCCTGCACAAATTGAAGATTTGGTAATACATCCTTACCTATATATGGAGATGCTAAGATGTTAGTGACTACTAAATGTATGTCTGCATGCATTCATGCAACTAGCTTTTCCCTTGGGCCTCCCAGTCTAGAACCCCTCCCCTCCCCACCCCCACCCCCCCAGCAGCTGCATGTAACCTCCTTCAAGATCTCGCCCATTTTCTCAGAAACCCGCTTCAGGAACCTGCAGTCCAAGAGGAAAAAGAAAAGAACAAAGTTACTGAAGGCCTTTAGAAGACAGAGAACCGTGCTCAGTTCTAACAGGCCATTCTCTGTGGCTATACATTAGCCTTGTACTTAATTACACAAGCTCTCATTAGAAATACAAAATTAGCTTTTTTTTCTTTCCAGTAATCGAGTTGTGCAATGCAGTTTCCAATCCTCAGTAATTTAACAATGAGGAGAATTGCTGTACATTTAAGACACTGTCTTCAGACTAAACACAAGACCATTAAAAGACTTAGTTTAAAGGCACAGATTAAGAATAAAAAAATCATTCCCTTATCAGGAGCAGAGAGTTTCCAGTAAGACATCAAGCATGTGATCTTTTTTGTTTGTTCAAGGTATCTAGAGTTAAAACAATGACGTCATGTCCAATACAGAACATTCTACATGAAACGTACTGAAAAGGAAGGAGATAGGTCAGTGGACTTTCTGTCCTTCTTAATCATAATGTTTTTTCCTGAGTATTTTTGTTGAACTTTCAGAATCAGAAAACATTTTCCTGTTTAAGAAGTGAAAGCTGCCAAGTATTTGCAAAGGAAGGAAATTAATAATTTTCAGTAACTGAGTTCAGTTAGTTATGAAAAGAAAAAGATCTCTGTTTTAAGAATGTAGTTTAAGTCATAAAAGTGGGAACAGTAAATCTTAGAGATCTTTAAAACTAAAGTACTTTTTCAGTTCTCTATAAAAACTTAGTATTCCACAGAACAAGCAGGAATCCTGGTTTTTTTTCAGTTCAGTAGCTGAATTGGATTTAGTGCTTTGTAAATCAGGAAAGTAGAAGACATTGGTCAAAATTACAGACCAGTGTAAGATGCATAATTTAATATGGTTATCTCTGAAAGGAACTACAGCTAACTTCACATGCAAACAACAGATCATTGCTGACTTCTGATTCTGTAGTTCTTTTCATGAGCCTGTGTAACTTACAATTTTTCCACTATTTTCCCTGGGGAATGTACAACTGAGAGCTGCCAGTTTACTGTTAGATATAGGTTACTGCACCTTTGCTGTTTTTCTCTAGCGTTACATCTATATATGATGTTGGCACATAGCCTTCCTCTCCATTATGTCTTCGAGCTCTTGTCCACCCATCTCCTTTGTCCTCCTCAATAATGTACAAAATTTCCCCTTCTTTCATTGCTAGAGTGCCTTCATTATGACCTGGGAAAAACAAGAGGCAAAGAAGTCTCACTGTTCAGACAGAATTTCAAGTCATCTTTTTCCCAAGGCATGGTTTCCAAAATATATATAAACAGGAAGAACGAAAAATCTGTGCAAGAGAACATATGGCCAAACAGACTTAGAAAAAAATCCAATTTGTAAAGCTGAATATTTTCCAATAGCTGTGCTAATATTTATCTTAAAACAGCACAAGTACTGCTCATAAATTAAAATAATTTATAAAGTATCTTCACTGATCTTTCAAGCAATTAGTTACTCATACAGGTAATTTGCTTTAAATCATTTTACCTGTCTTCTTTATAACAAATCAGCCATGCCTTACAGTCAGAGAATCTCAGTGCATGTTGTTAACCTTACCATCAAAGGGATAGATTGCCTTGCAATGTCCTATAGCTGGTAATGGATCATCATCTTCAAACTCATCATCAAACTCATTGGGATGAGCGTGCTGCTGTGGTGGGCCACGAACTTCCTGGTTGGCATCATCCGTGTAACTCCCTTCAGGGCTGCAATGCAATCATTGGAGCATGAGGACTCTGAGGGGCTCCTAGCTCCAAAACTCACAACATCCACACGTCACAGAAAGGTCATGGATATTGTTTTGGAATTCCTGTTAGCAGTTTTTTATATTTTTATATTACTGTCAGAGGTGATTTACTGAAAAAACTCATCTAGCAAAACCTTAGACTGAATTCTGCTAGAAAAACAAACATAAATTTGACATACCTCTCTCCACAGAACATGGAAAACTAGTGAGCTGTATGCAATGGAATAAGACAGGTTTAAAAAGCACTGCTATTTAATGAGCAGGTGTTTCAATTAGATTATTTTTATATGTTACCAGAATGGCAGGAAGTGACCTCTAGAAGTCAGAACCAGTTCAGCTTTTCCTTTAGAAGGACATACACTTTGGGAGGGTAAGTAACACCCATCCCTCCTGCAAGCACCAGAGAGCTGTACAAACTCTAGCAGGGGATGTAAAGCAGCAGAGACAGAACAGTGACCTCTCTCGGCCCTGGGTGACAAGGTGGTTGATGTCGCTGCTGTGCCGCCTGTCGCTCCTGGCTGCCACTTTACCTTCAACTTCAGAGAGCCAGGCCTTGGGGAAAAAAGGCAAATACTGGTGTCAAAGAAAAATTGATTCTAAACCAGCACATTTGACAGATACACTGAACTGCAGACAGTTCACAGCCACACAGAGACTGTGGTCAGATGTCAAGTCTCATAATTACTTCACACAAAGCATGAACCTATCCTTTATGCTTAGCCTATGCTCCATACTGGTGTAAGGAAAAAATCTGTAATTACATATGAATTTCAGAATAAGTGAGTAATAATATATTCTTCTGAAAACAGTTTACATCTTTAATAATGTACATCCTTATTCTAGCTAGATGAACATACTTGAAAATACAGCACCCTACAAAAAATTGTAACAGGAGTTCTACTCTTAAATCAAGTATTTTTTTCTGGGTGCTATATTTAAAATCTGTAAGGCAAAGTACAATTGTACCAATCATTTACATTTTCCAAGAAACTGTTATAGAATCTAACCTCATTCTTGTGTATTTCCATCCGAAGACGGTCCATATTGCTCATAGTCTCAGTTAATTTTGGTTGCAAACTGCTTGGATCACCCATCTGGGGATTTTTTTCATAAACATCCTTCATCTTGATGAGGGCATCTCTAAAAACACACAAACCATGACAATAATTAATATACTAGTTTTGATTCATTAAAGCTAAAATAATGTGTATGAGATCCTGAACTGTGATTAGATACCAAGCACAGCAACAAGGAACACTACTGGTCTTCACACATGCCTAAATCCTTCTCCCATTCTGTCATCTTAGCCCTCTTTTAGCCTTCCTTTCTTGTGTTGTGCACAGGCAAACAAGGACTCCAGCTGTTGGCTCTTACCTATCCAGTCTCAGTACTGTTTCCCATACTGTTTGTTATATACAGTTTCCTAAATACTAGTCACGTTCTGAAAGAATGAAGTTGCAGCTATCTTGCTCAACAGACTCACACATTTTTAACACATGATTTTAGAGCCAATGCTCCCTATGCAGTATTAGAATCAAAATGAGTATTACAGTAAAGCAGAAGGAAGCAATAGTAACAGAATCTACATACAACAAACTATGAATTTTAAAAGCTTTTTAATAGCCTGGCCTAGCACATCGTCTCCTGGCTTTTGAGTATTGTTGGCTTAGGTAGAGGATGTTAAAAACAAACAAACAAACAAACAAACCAAAAAAACAAAAAAAACCACCCCAGAACTATGACAGAAACCCCAGAAAATGCACTCACTTCTGGTCTGTTTCCTTCTGTAGCTCTCTGTTAAGTTCATCGATTCTCTGCTGCAGTTTCTTGCGTCTTTGTTCCGGAGGGAGGTGGCTGAAATCTTCTAGTGCAGGGCCCTGCAAGCAGAATTGCTGTGAAACAAGCTGCTATGTGCACAGCCCTGGGCAGCTGAACTGACATACCCACACATGGACAGTGTTCACTGGAAGCAGATGGACCTTCTTAAAAACTCAAAAACTCTACTGACAGACAGCTCTACAAAAGACCGCACAGAATAAATAAATGCATGTTCCTGCTGCCACAGGGGAGTCCTTCAGTCAAGGGGATTTCTGCAGTTTGCTCACAGAGGTAACTCAAAATTTCTAGACTTTATTTTTCTGAAGTCACGTGCCTCCTCTTACATCCACTGCACTTAAAGAAGATTTTAAAAGGACAAAATAATTTGAGTCAGAACAAGAATCTAAGATGTGTATATAATAATTTTATATATATATATATTAGAAATCGTTTCTTTCTCCAAAGTGTGTTCTGTGGTCGTTTGGATGGTATCAAAAGGAAAATACTGTATTTTGGATCTTCACTACAAAGCACTATTATAGTTCTCCTCCAGAACTTTAGCAATCCTAGAAAACACATTAAAACTTACAAAGTTCTGATGGATTTTACCCTCAAGTAAAACTTGAGGTTTACAGAGCACAGAAAAAAAACTCTGTAATATCAAAATTCTTACTTAAATTTGTTTATTTGACTCAAAACTTGCCCAAATATTCCAAGTCACCTTTTTTACAAAAAAACCCCAAAAAACAAAAGAAAACCCCAAAAAACAAAAAACTTCAGGGAGGGGAAAAACCCTCTTACTTCCCAAACATATATATAAAAAAAAAAAATCATATACCAGCCAATTTAAGACCATCTGTTGTTACGAACCCAAACCTACAAACTTCATTGCAAACTTGTACCAAGATTATAATAAGTAGGATAGAAGGGCCTGGGTATGAAATGCATGGGAAGAGATTTTTTATATATCTTGCAAGTTTGTTGTGAAAATTCTTCCCCTCGGTGACAGACACTGACACAGACAGTGCTAAGAAGGAAATATGGTACATGTCTTTATCACCAAAGGTTTGGGTTTGTTTTTTTTCTGTGATCCCATTTGTCTAAGGAAGTTGGTTTTAACCCAAGAAACCCACTTGCAATTCCAGTAACCCTCCATGGAGGCAAACCAAGCTGGCCAGCATTTCTTTTGTCAAGAAGGAAATTTACAGAAACTTGACTGGTGAGATTTTGACACAAACCTTAGGCTCAGGTACCAAGTTTCCAACACCTCCCCTTTAAGACCTTCTCACCCCTCAACTTTTTTGCACTTGTAAAATCCATCTCATTGCTTTTTAAGAAGGGAATACAAGACATCATAAAAGAAGGAAAATCAAGATATGATGTTTCCAAAATAAAACAAGTGTTTCTTTCTGGAGGAAGAAGAATATACACTGTGTATAGTCTCAAAGTCCAGAGATGCAAAATGACATAAACAAACTTCCTGTTCCCTTCAGAAAGTCTTCCAAGAAAACACTGTTAAGTGGAATACACTACAAAGAAACAAAAATAAAATCATGTCCTCTCTATCATTCTTCCTTACAGGTCAGTTTAATCAACAGTATCCTAAAAGATGAATCAGAGGAACAGAGGTCTTTTTGTGAATTTTTACTGATTTACTGTGCAATACAATATTGATTAGGGCGTGGTTTTATTTAATGTAACAACTTCCTGTATTTCTAAGCATAAAGGTTCTCCCCTGCAAATTTTTCTTCTAAATTCAGTGGAGTGCAGTATTCAGTATTTCTTCTTCACACAAATTTTATAATCCTTTCATATAAATATTTTATGCTGCTTAAACAATTTTCCTTACAAGGAAAAAAATCACCAAGTATTTCCATCATGACCAACTTCTGAATACTGGTCAACTCTAAAATTCCAAAACTGCAGATTCAGTTGCAGCCAGATCACAAGTCTAATTGCCTTGCATTAAGCATGGATGATTAAGAAGACTGTGCATATGAGTGGAAAATCTGAAGATGTATTTCAGCACCTGACTTAAAGCAGTTATGGTATGGAAACACTTTCAGAAGATTATTTTCATGCTATCTTAGCAGAAGTACAGCAGACAGATCAGCACACGGGCTTACCATCTTCACCGACCACTGCACAGTTCAATTGAAAACAGAAAGAAACGGGAAATTATTTACATGCAACGACCAGTTACAAAAGTGACTAATGCCTAAAAATGGATTTTTAAAATATCACTTAAGGATTGACGTTTTCATTTATAAAAAATACATTTTACTATAAGCACAAGAAAATAATTGCTTTAAGAATTACTGATTAAAGAATACTAGGTGATAATGGGTGCTTTTAACTAGAAAATTTTAACACACACCTTCATTAAACTACTTCTGAATTTTAGTGTTCTCAATAAAGCGCTAAAGAGCCTTCTGTTGTAGCAAAAGACACACACACAGCCAACATTACACAAAATAGCAGAATTTGATGATGATGGACTGATCAGCCATATACAAAAAATTTGTTAATCATAGCTCAAAATCCACTACAATCACTAGTTTCTGCAATGTATTTACTTTGTTATCACAAGAGATCTAGAATAAACATATTTTTCAAGTCTAGAAGTAATACAGCATTTGGGTCACTGTTGTTATCTAGAATTGTTTTAGTCCAGACAAAGACATTTAAAGAGTAAAGATATTGCCCTTAGACAAAGCAAATAAAACATGGGTGCCAGGAGCTGAATCTCGGCTTTAACATTTACAGCATTTTGAAGATCTACCTTGCTTTTAATAATTTGGACAACCCTTCCCAGGGAAAGGCCAAGCAACTTAGAATACAGGTATCTCAACTTCAGTTCTGACCCAGAGCAAGGCTGTTGTTCAGGCTGTTGCTTTGGGGCACACACACAACATCAGAATTTCCAGCAATGAGGGGAGTACAGCACCTTCACAAATGATACTTTGGTAGGAATCTCCTACTGAAGGAAGTCCAGAGATGCAAAATGACATAAACTTCCTGTTCCCTTCGGAAACAGTCTTCCAAGAAAACTCTCTTAAGGTCTACAGATCACTGCTGATAATGCAGGTATTTTATGTACCGAGTGGCATCAGGCACAGACCTCTCATAACCACTTACTCTGTCTGGAACAGTTAAGATTTCAAAGGAGGAGCAGCAGCAGGTAACAGCAGCACTAACACAGCAAGCTGCACTTGCTTACACCCTCCTTCAATAATCTGCTCTACAGCCACTGTTTGCTGCTCTTGCTCTACATTGTGACAGGAAATGTTCTGCATGGAGCACAGACAGGAGGGATACTGGGCTTGTGATCTCCAGTGCCTTGAGCAAAATCTTGTACACGTTAAACAAAATGACCAGTGTGCTTCACTGGCTGCTAGTGATGCCAACTCATGGATAAAGGCTCAGCAGAAGCAAACTGAGCACCATTTTACATGGGCAGGTGGTGACAGGACAAAGGGGAACGTTTTTTAACTGAAAGAAGACAGATTTGGTTTAGCTGTTAGGACGAAATTCTGTACTCAGAGGGTGGTGAGGCACTGGAACAGGTTGCCCAGAGCAGCTGTGGATGCCCCACCCTGGCAGGTTCAAAGCCAGGCTGGATGGGGTCTGAGCAGCCTCAGTGAGAGGGGTCTCTGCCCAGGGCAGGGGGGTGGAATGAGACAATCTCTGAGGTCCCTTCCAAACCAAACCCTTCTCTGATCCTATGGTTTAGTAGTTCTGCATGTCAGTACCACTTGGAAATCATTTTCCAGGGACAGAACACATGGGAAACAGCATCACATACTAGCAACTATTAAGCATTTATTCAAGGTATATATTATAAAGATAAGACTGATCAATGAGATTTTTTTTAAAAAAACACTATTACTAGTCCAGTATACATTTAAGTTGAAAAGACTTTAAAAATATGCAATAATGTGGTGTCTGTTAAAATGCTTGCAAGGAAATTCAGATTATATATAAATTAAATGCTCATTTGTCAAGATTTCACAGAGATGAACTCTTTAATATTATGGCATGTTTGAGTGAATCTAGATCTGTAGGATATTAGTGACGCTTAATAATGTTAAAGAATTATTAAATTTAAATTATTTAAAGAATGTATTAAATTAATTCAATTTTACAACGCTAAGAATGCATTTTAAAATCAAATAAAGATATGGTTTCATTTTCCATTAGCATTCTGTAATTGTTAGGAGATGATCTTTCCCTTTGAAAGAGGTTCCAGAACTACTGGTAGTACAAGGTGATGAATTGTAGGGCAGGAGTCAATACATTTAGTGATCAACAAAATCAAGGTGTCATCAAGGCCTGTGCCATTCCAACAGCTACCTAATCCAGGCAGTTCTTCACTGAGTACTAAAGAAGAGGCTTTACCTTCACGACCAGACCAAATCCTGATCTAATGACTCAGAAGGGAATGGAGATGCTGCCCTCCATAGAGACTTAGAGGAACACAAGAATTTTCTAAAAAATGGCAGTGCTAGAAAGGCTCTTTCCAAGGTATCTGGGGGCCTGAGATTAGATGCCACAACATGACCTGAAGATAAATAAACTAAGTTTTAACTGTAACTCATTCTGCTTCAGAACGGCAACAAGGGAGCCTTTAAATTGTAACTTTACTGCAATAGGACATGGTTGTACCTTGATCTCCACATCTTACCAACAGTCAACCATTCTTGATGCATACAAGATAGCAAATCAATATTGTCTTGAAACACCAAAAAATTATTAATTATATATAACCAAATGTATCCAGTTACCTTTTTATTTGGCTCAATAAATATCACTAAACATACATTAACTGGTCAGCCTTCACTTTTCTGACATAACAGGAAAGTGCCAGCACCAGAAATGTTGCTAGGAAACCACTTCATATTTCCCTTCTACTGACTTCCAGACAAATTCTATTTGCAGAATATGCCACAGTATTAGTAAATTAATTGATAAATCTCAGTGGCATTCGATAGTAATTTTTTCAATAATTTTACCCAAAAGAAACTAGGACAAACAAGAGCAACTAAATTAATCAGAAAACATATTAAAATTGCAATGTTTAAAAAATTCAGTATTTCAAAATGTGCTATCATCATAAGCTATAGCATTTGATGTACAAAAGAAATTAAATTCTCCCTTCTTAGTTCAATGTCTTGTAATCAACTTCTATTATTTTCAAAGTCAGCAAACAAGACATCTGATCTGTCAGATGATTTTTGTGCTAACTGTATATCCAATGATAAATTACTACAAAAATGTGTTACATGATGATAGGAAAACATTTGTGAAAGTGAACAACAATGAAGAAAGGTATCAAACACATGCTGAGCACCCTCTTTATAACACCTTTTTTAGGCATGAGCATTTTAAATGATAAACAATATTTCTATTTTATTTTCTTTTTAATCTGTTGGTAACTTCTGTATAATATGAAACAAAGTATCCTAGAAGTGACCTTATAGCTGAAGTGTTACTTTTAACTAAGCCAGCCTTATAATGAGGGTGAAGAGCATTAGAAAAGCCACATCACAAACACACTGCTCATAGCCCATCATGCATTTCAACTTGTTATCAAACTTACCCCTCTTTTGAGGCTTCTGAAAGAAGGAATTCTGGGCTTCCCTGTTTTTATGTCACTCATGCAATAATGCACTGGTTCAATGGAGAATATGGGATACTGGGACCCATTAGGAGTACTGGATGTGTATAAACTAGTAGGGGTTAGGGGTGGGGATTGTGGCTAATGTGGAAATAAAGAAAGCAATAAATAAGCCAAATGTTCAAAGTGATTTTAAAATGAAAATTCTGTCTTACAAAAATAAAATATCCATCCAACACAGAAACAGGTTGTAACGTTCCAGACACATTTACACTATAACTGCATTGGTTTCTGTCAAGAATTCATCTTCAGAGTTATAGGCTGCTGCAGGGAAGGAAGGAGGCTTTAGACTCAACACTACCATAAGATCCTATCAAAATCTCCAAGCTTCCTGTCTCTTTTCTTAAAACATAGCTCTGCTATTGCCAATTTACAGTCATGTTACAATCATCCTGGAAGCTCAAGCATTCCTGCTCACTACTTCCCCCTAAATACTGAGGTGCCCTACACCAGGTTAGCCAAAACAGAAATATTTGGTACATCTATGGAGAATGACTAAGACAGAAAGCATTCTCAAATTCTGTGGTCAAGCTGGACTGACACAATGTCTGCATGGTATTCTTAATATCACCCCAAAAACCTCCTTCCCTTTTTTCAAATTGCTTCTCTCATTTTTTGTCTCTCATACCTCTGCTATTCTTTCCCAGTTCAATTTTCCTCTACTATTTCCACTGCTGCACAACTCCTTCCCTTTACAAAGGCTTTTATGTCTTTGACAGCATTAAAAATAGGTAAAGGAATATCTGGAAGTCAAGACAAGCCATAGTTTCAGCTAAATGAAGGTCCAAAGGCCCCCATGAATACCCTAGCTGTAGCAAACCAGCTAATTTTATAAAAGATAATTTAAGAATATATTTTAAAACCTGTGAATAGTATTTGGAATTAAATATGTATCTTCCAATAAATATTTTGCTTCAGCTGCTGTTTTGTAGAGTGCTCCTCCATCCTCCCCAACAACAGGTAAAAAAACAGGGACAAAATCTTTCATTTCATGCAGGTCCTTAGGGAAGAGATGCATGTATTGTGTACACACATATGTCACACCTGTGACTCCATAGAGGAAACAGCAAGGCTGACTCCCTGAACGCTACACACAGTGAGTGCACTGGGGACAGGAGGAGTAGAACAAGTCTTGTCAGCTTATTTCAGCTGACATCACACTAAGGGACTTCTTACAGTAAATGCCAAGGTCCAGATTGAAACCAGTGTACATTTACAAAATCTCCAAACTCTCAGAAAGATGGCTTGTGGTCAAATTAGTAATTGTGATCTAATTTCAGAACAGGCCAGATCTCACCCACCTCTGCAGACAAATGCAATATATATGCCCATGTATTAATGCATGTGAACTGCTATCATTCATTATATTGCATGAACATTAAACAATCAGTTTTAATACACAGCTGGAGTTACATGATATACTGAGGATGGAATAAAGAATCAGCTGTATCCTTCCTTTCTGTAAAGACCTACTTTCTCAGAATACTATCAAGTAGAAAATAAGTTGTACCATTAAGAAGGCCTAAGAATAGTTTCCTGTAATAAATGACAGAAATTGGCTTGGAGCATTCAAATAACCTCATAGAAATTGTTGAGAATCATTAAAACAGCTCATTGATATGCTCCAATATTAAATAAAGCATAAACTGTAAATATGTATAAGCTCCATTCGTTTATATAGCTAATGCATGTATTGACAATCTTTTATTGATCCATGAAGGCATCTTGCACGGAAAGTGTTAATTGCAATTCATAAGAAAACAAAGTAGTAACTTCAATGCTTTCAATTTTTCTTGTGCATAGGAAGACTTTTACCTATTTCATAGCAATATTTATTCTGGGACATTTACCTTTATGGAGCTTCCACAGTATGTTTTACCAGTGACATATTAGAAATTTTAATGTTTTCAGAGAAACCTCGGAGTTTTCAAAACTTGCAGCAGGTGTAATAAAAATCTACGCAACACTTCTATACAGAAGTGTGACATTTAGAAGGGGGTTGCTTTTTGTGCCATAACAGATCTGAAATCTGCCCAATCTCCCCTCCCCTTATTTTTACATTCATAATTAAAACCTTTCCTATGCAACTACAGAAAGTCTTTACAGAATCTTAGAAACATTACAGTAATGGGAGGCTGCTTTTATCAAATAACTATTAAAAATGTTGCCAGACTCCAATTATTAAAAGGAAAACTGAAAAACTTCCCCAGCGACAACTTCATTTTCAACATGGTCAGTATTCAAACCTTCTCAAACCTTCTAATCTCCTTACACATACTATAAAAGATACTGACTGGAAAGGGGAAGATTTTTTTAAATACACGAACTGCTGCTTCCATGCACTCTAAATGTTCAAATTTTAATTTTCCAAACAGTAATTTCTTAATTGTTACCTTTGGTTTCTTTCCAAATAGCCACAGCTTTCCTTTAGCCTTGCCAACTGTAGTTTTTGTATCAATTCTCATTCCCTCTTGCTTTGGTGTACTGATGGTTCCATCAGAGATAGTTCTGTAAATATTCTGACTGTAGTCTTCAAATGGAAAATCTCCAGGAGGTTCAAAACCAGATTTGAAGCAGTCTATCACTAGTTGAGAGTCCTAAACATAGGACATTGAGGAGTTTAAAAAGCGAGCCCATCAAGAAACAGAGAGAAAAACCAGAGACAAATTTTTCATTTAATTGTAGAGATGCACAGAAAGTAAAAGTGAGCTCAAAACACACACTTTTGGACAGAGCAGGTTTAGACAACAACATTCTTTTATCTCAGCAGTGCTCATGAGTGTATAGCAAAGCATACTCTGTTATTCTGAATATTCCAGCAAATACTTCTCGAGGGTTACCACAAATTTAAAACAGGGCCAAACTACTTTCCACCTTTTAATCTTTCAACATTGGCACTGAAATGAGGACAGAACTAAGAAACTAGATGGAGTAAGAAAACAGGACAGAACCTGCTGCAATCAAACAGGACACAGGATGACACTTTGTTAACTGAACACCCTTTATATGTTTTAATGTCACTTACAGGGGAACGCACTGACCATGGTATTCCAGGATATTTCAGGATAACCAAAATAATGTGTCCAAAATCACATGAGAACATGTCAAAAGACATTTGATTACACCAAATCAATAAAGCAGGAAGAGAGCAGACAATAAAAGCAGAAGTGGTCCCTTCTGCTGAAATGGAAGTCACAACTCTTTTGAAGCAAATATTTGCCAACAGAAAGATAACTGTACAGGCTAAGTCAGCCTTTCCCCTCTCCACAGCTCCTGTAGCAGTTAAATTGCTCACACAGTCAAAAAGTTACTCAGTTCTACTTACTCTATGTTCATCAACTGATTTTGCTGCAAGGATCATCCCCTCTAAGCATTTTGAGATAATTGGAATAACCTTGCGCTCAGAGTCAGCAAAGCCTTTGTAACATTCACTAAGTTTGATAGTCCTTCTTTCATCCATTTCTTGAAGTTGCTGCAAGTGCAAAGAAAGATAAAATCAAGCTTTCATTTGCTGATTCTTTCCTCCTTGATCCTGACATATGCAGTTACTGTGGTCACCACAGTGCAGAACAGAATATCTACGCTTTCCTAGTATTTTTATTTGCTTAACAAAACAGAATTTAAAAGTCCTTTCAGATACAGACTTAGGATACCTATTACAATAGTTATTAAGACTTTATGCTGTTTGATTTCTAAAAAATCGTGTAAAGGACAGGATTTTCTTTTCCTTTTTCTTTTATAGAGCACATGTACCATTTTTACAGGCAACTGTTTAAAGTATTTGTTTCATGCAAAAATGAAAATCACAGTGAAGAAATTTTACTGATTTCTACATCTCCTCACTCTCTTTTTCTACTTCCAAGTAATTCCTCTCTGGTGATAAATATCTCCATCTTGCTTTTATTATTATACCTTCCAAGCAATACCAATTATTTAAAATATAGGAAAAATAAGAAAAAAATAAATTATCTGCAGTTTAGACACTGATTTGAAATACAAACCATTTCCTTTAGCAGTGTGCAAGAAAATAAAGAGAAGAATACCATTACGTAAGACTTGCAATAAAAGTTTACTGGAACAGAACAAAAAATAATTAAAGAGAAATACTATTAAGGTAACAGCCCTGGACTTCTCACCTGAGTGTGGAAAACACCCCAAACAAAACCAAAAGTCAGTAAAACATACCAATAGCTTATCAAAAACTGGACAGGAGGCTGCATCTTTGCTGTATGTACATTGAGACAGATGTCTCAAACAATATTCAATTTCATTTCATCTGTCCAAGACAAAACAACCACCTAGACATGCTAAACTCCTCTCCAAGGTTTTCCCATAGAATGTTACCAAATACTTGCAATGAAGTAATAAAAGTGTAGTCCCAAGAGAAAGCAGGACTAGGCTTTTCTGCTCTTACTGTAGAGTTAAAAAAATGTAAGTAATATCTTACAATGATAATAGATTTTAACCCTGGAGAAATAAAGGCAGTAAAGCAAAAGTCTGGTGCAAGCTACAGAGATGAGCAACCTGTTTCTCCTGGGAGCTGACTGCAGCTCTTGGATCAGTGTGTGAAGTCAGGCCTACTGCAGTGCTGCTTAACAGTTAAATATTAGAAAATTCTTTAATAAGCTAAGGCAATTTTCTCCTGTGAATCCTAGACCTTCTAGTAAGGATTTTTTTTAAAAAATAGGAACGGACTTGTGCTTCTGGAAAACATCAAGCATATTTAAGTTGAATACCTTCAAATAAACCCAGTGCTTCACCTTCCATTTCCTCACTCCCTGTCTCAGTATCAGTTCCCACCCATATTTTCCATATGGCTGAAGGTACATGCCAACACACTCCTGAACTCTCCTCACCTGACATCCCCAACTACTTTAAACTGGTTTTCCAGTTCTGCAAAGTCCATGTTTTTGAAAGAATGTTAAAAATAATAGTTACACAAAGCATCTCAAGAAATCCCCACTTGGGATGCAAAGTATTGATCTTTAACTATTTAAACTGGTTTAGAGAGATCTGTGGATTGCTGGTAACACTAATGGAGCAAAGACTAACTGGGGGCTGGGGAAGGTGCAGGAACTTCTGCTTCCAGTGCAGCTGTTTTTCATCTGTGCATGAAATCCATTAAAGCACAGTCACTGTCAGCTACAAGCCTTCCTTCACCTCACCAGGGGCAGAGCACTCACACACACAGAGGGATCCTGAGAACTACTGATCAACCCTCATCAGAATGACTGGTTTAAATGCCTGCTGTCACCCAAATGCCTCCAATATTTACTTTGCCAGATCCTTTCAGAAATATTTAAAAGAGTCTATAAAACATAAAATCTTACAGAAAATGCAACCAAGCATTTTCGTTAAAAATCCAAGCATTAGTACGGTTCGCAGACTCATGAAAAAACACAAGTCGTCTGAGGATTATGGTAATTTCTTGATAAAATGATCCACTAAAATCCAAAAAACCAGAGTTTTTAATTTTAGTCTACTTCATCTTTAGAAAAGGATTAGACATACTTTTATCTGTTAATTTTTTACCTTGTAAATCTGAGGAATGACAATGTAGTAGTGTTTGTGCTGCTCCCCGTTAAAATTCTGTAGTTGTGCAGCATATTCATTTTTGTTTTCATCAGCCATGTGTGTGCGCAGGTTTAACTGTTGCTTAGCCTAGCAGGAAAGTGTTATCAGGTTAAACATGTCTTGTACTTTTCAATGACACACAGCATTATTTTATTTTATCACCTATGCAAGAACACTAGTCACAAGTCATCAAAACCAATCAAACATCCTTATAACTGAAATATAAAGAACGTGAAACTTCACATATACTGACACTGCAAAACCCCATTTGCTATATACAGAGAAAGCAATGATAGCAATGATCACTGTAGCTCCCTCAGCCAGACTGCTTAAATGCATATCCTGAAGCCCACAGAGTGGGTGAACATAGAAACCACGAGGTACAAAGAGCAGACAGCTGTCAGTTTAAGGAACAGTGAGCACAGCCATCCAGAGGGATCCTCCTGAACTTCAACAAGGACAAGTGCCAGGTCCTGCATGTGAGCTGGGCTGATCCCAAGCACTAACACAGGCTGGAGAGAATGGGTTGAGAACAGCCCTGAGAAGGACCTAAGGGTCCTTGCAATGTGCACTCACAGCCCACAGAGCCAGCCCCGTCCTGGGCTCCATCAAAAGCAGCGTGGCCAACAGGTCAAGGGAGCTGCCTCTGCCCCTCTGCTCAGCCCTTCTGAGACCCCACCTGCAGTGCCCTCAGCACAGAAGGAAATGGACCTGCTGGGCAGAGTCCAAAGGAGGGAATAAAGATCATCAGAGAACTGCAGCATCCCTCCCATGAAGACAGGCTGAGAGATTTGGAGATTTTCAGCCTGGAGAAGCAAAGGCTTTGGGGACACCTTAGAGGCCCTTCCAGTACCTAAAGAGGGTCTACGTGACAAGCTGGAGAGGGACTTTTTACAAGGACAGGTACTGATAGGGCAAGCGGGAATGATTTTAAACTCAGAGAGGGCAGGTTCAGATTAGACATTAGGAAAAAATTCTTCATTATGAGGGTGGTGAGGCACTGGACCAGGGTGCCCAGAGCAGCTGTGGATGCCCCATCCCTGGCAGTGCTCAAGGCCAGGCTGGATGGGGCTTTGAGCAACCTGCTCTAGTGGAAGTTGTCCTTGCCCATGGCAGGGGAGCGTTCAAGGTCCCTTCCAACCCAAACCATTCTGATTCTGAAGCACACTCCTTTCCTGTGCTGATTTTGTACAAGTAACAAATAACAAGTAAGCATATTTTATATACAATTTTGTATATTCAATTAATATTGTTTCAGTACTGATGATTAACATGTAAATAAAATGTAGTTGATAATAAAGTAAAGCCATTGCCCTTACCTTCTCAACATCAGCCTTTGTTGCATTAGTATCATTGTCCAGTCGTTCATAGCTTTGCTGTGCCTTCTCTGCCTCTCTGCATTCTCTCTCAAATTTCTTTTTGCTCTACAAAAGGCACAAACTTACTGCTTCAACAGCCACTATTCCCATTTGGCTTCACACATTAATTCTGAATTCTAAATATCAAAGCCTCCATTTAAGTATCTTAAATTCACAAAGTCTCTTTAAAGGAGAGCACATGGTTAGCACAGCAACTGGGTCAACTAAATTATTTTGAAGGCAGTCTGAAGGATGTACCTACACTACAATCATCATCAGTATTCATGTCAAGTGGCACAGCTGTAGGTAGCAGACGACAGTATTCAATACACTTGATGTTCCATATATGCAGCTGTTGTCAAGACAACTGCTGTAGGAAAAATTGTTGCAGAAGTTCACATCTCTAGAGAGAAACTGCAGCTGAGACTCTGAGCTCCTGCTTCACAGCAAAGTCAGGCAACTGAGGTTAGTGTGTCCCTTACAGGCATCTAAATGCATTTCAAAGACTGGCTCAGGTAAATACAAGGCACTGTACTGTTTGAGCTGAACTGTGGGAACTACCTTGGTGAAGAACAATAACATAAAACTACCATATCTTCTTCTATTCTGATCCTCTGATGATGAACTAAATTCTTTGACATGATAGTGAAGCAAGACTCTGCTCATCTGGGACCACAAAAACAAAACTGAAATTCACTTCTCCAATATTGCTTCACAATAATCTGGATCAAAGATATAATAAGTTTTTAAGACAGAAAACCAGAATATCAGAATACATCTTGAACAGACTTGGCTGAAACTTATATTTTCTTATCTTTAAAAGATAAGAAATTTGTTTCAAGAAAAAGAAGGTTATAGTCTGTCCTAGAGACATTCACTTCCTGCATTTCACTGTTAAACAGTAGTTCTACCTCCTGAAAGAAAGTACAATAGTCTATAGTGGGATTCTTGAATATACCTTGGAACAAGCCCTCAAGCTCAAGCCAAATTCAATTACTTGATTTCATCTTCATATAAATAAACTGTCATTTCTAGTAGCCCAAGCAACCAAAGTCTTTTACGGCAGTTATGCTGGATAAAAGCCAACGCTTCTCTCAAACATAAACACAGAAGCTGTTTACAGAGATTTTTTTAGCCAGGGAACTATAAATACATTGAACTGTATTATATTACTAAGTTACTTGGACATTCAGTAATATAACTACATATTAAATCTAAGCAAGACAGATAAAAACAGTTCCACTTACAGCCTGTGTATTTTATTTAAGTTCAACGGGAATAAAATCTAAACACAAACTCACGTTATCCATCTGTTTCCAGCACATGTCCAGATACTGCTGAGCCTTTCGCCCTTCCTGAAGATGCTAAAAACACCACAAATAAATTAATTTTGCCTATTTTTTTGTATTATTACCATTAGTTGGTCCCTGCTCTAGTTAACAACCTATGATGTGCAGTGCCTTCCACAAGCTACCCATGCTCTTTGGAAGACATTACTTAACATGAAAGAATTGTACCACAGATACTGTGGTACACTGGCAAAAAAAAAAAAAGGTTACTAATAAGCACTATCTTCCCAAGATAATAATTTTTTAGATTTAATAACAGTATATAACAAGTATATAACATTATATATTATAGAAAAACCTTACATGGGTTTTATAAAAGTATTACAAAACCTATGTATTGCTGCGTTCATCAAAATGGGTAAACAAGTACATCAGTTCATTAAAAGACATACATCTTGATATTCTATTTTCAAATTTAAGAATACAAATTACCATTTTTCTCTCAGTTTTTAAATCATGAGAATATCTCATCAATTCTCCATAGACTCTGTGTCCCATTTCTTCTGCAACTACTTCTCGTTGTCCTGCATAGTCGTTCAACTCATTGAGGATGTTAAAAAAGGCAATACACGAAGTAAACCTGACAGAAAGCACACACACACAAATAAAAAGACACAAAATGTTAGGCAGCCTTTTAAAATGGACTTATTTTAGTACACTCTGTACTCCTGATTACATAAAAATCATTGACATTTTACAATAAACCTTATCTTAATGCTAATTGAGTTAGAGTAGAAACACAAGCTGGGAAAGAAAGCCTGTGTTAAGCCTAGCATGTACTACATGTTGCAATGTCTCTTCAAACACATTTTATAAGAACATGGGGTTTGTGGATGGAAAAGAAAGAAGAAGAATACTACCTGGCAAGCCCTGTAGTATAGTGGTATCTCCTAAGCTGCCCAGGGAGAGCCTGAGCTTGGGAACGGATACATACGTCCCTAGGCTCGGAGGCTGAGCTTGCTGCAGAGATGATGTGCTTGGTAGTCTTGAGGGTGGAACATGCCAATCATAGCACTCCTATGCAGCCCGATGGATTCTACACAACAAGTTTGCTATCAGCTCTGGAGACAGCTGCCTGTTTGCCTGCCCACCTCTTGGCTGGAAGTAAGGTGCCACTATGGCTAGCACTAAAAAAGGGGGAAGAGGAGGGGCAAAGGGTAGAAAGTGTGTGTGGAAGGGAAGAAAGAAAAAAAAAAAAACAGGCACCACATTAAAATATACATCTTTCTCTCTTTTTACTGTGGAATACTGCCATCTCCATAGGCTTGGCTTTTGGGAATTTCAAATGCCACTCTAGCACTGGAAAGCCTATTCCCTCAGGTCCAGGATCTTTACATAGTTAAGAGAGCTAGAGGAAATCCTACTGTGAATTCTCAGGTACTCTGCACAGCATGTGCTCTGGCTGCAACCTGAAACTTGTCCACTTTTTCATTTCCTAAGACTTACCCCTAAAGAAAAAAAGTATTGTGCTCTTTCAAATAAATTTTAAAATGGCTATGGAATGGACAGCAAAACTAGCACGTTTCTGATAAATAAAGTTGTTCAGCATAATAAATAAAATTGTTCCTCCATCATCAGACATCCACATATTTTGTCTCTGGAATCAAAGCAAGTCAGCATTTTAGAGCTCTTCTTGTCCATAACATGACAACTTGTGTGCACTGAGGTGTCAGTATACAGATGCATAGCTACATTTGTATTGCCATCAAAATTAACTGAAAATCTCTATTACTATCCAAAAAACCAAAGCCTAAGGACACACACTTGCTTTTCTTTAAAAAACAGTACTAGATTGTACATAGCAAGCTAAACTTCTGCTTTCAAATTTTCAGTTACCTAAAGATTAATTTGGAAGGGATCAAGTACAACCTGTCATGTTTACTATATTAAAATACCAACAGGAGTAAACAAAAGTTTCATGCTTAAGAATTAAAGCAGAACTGTAAGAAGCTAAGCACAATTCTTTTGCTGTCATCACCAATTAAATAACTTATCTTAAAAAAAATCCCAAAACATAAAAGGACAGCATTTGCTGTTAGTTCTCATTTTTACACACAGAACTTGAAATGGACATTTTTACCTGGGTTCCTCATCTTTTGGTGAGCGTTTAGGACAGTACTTCTTAACCAGATTTCTATTAAAGAAGAACAAAAAAAGATCCTATTTTAGATTCTCTTTTGAGAAGACACACAGAGAAAACTGCATGAACAAATTACTTCTGTTTAATGTTTTATGAATAAATCTATTCCCTCTGTCAACTTATAAGGGTCCTTTAGATAACACAAGGCTGAAATCTATGGTATTATCAAAGCTTTACACCACTTTGACCTAGAACAATTTGCAAATATTTTACAACTTCTACTGCAGTGACGAGACATGAAGAGTTTGTTATTTCACATCCCTTTCCCACATGCAGAAGGCAGCAGCCGAGGACAAGGCCAGTGTGTGACCACGGTGTGACACAGACAGTGCACACTGTGTGCTGTGCCATGAGCACAGGACTCCCTGCCTGAAGTAACCTTTGAGTATAGATTCACATCAAAGATTTTAACCATGGTATTTCCAAATGTTCAGTAAGGACATGTCCAGAACAGGAAAGGCAACGTGTCTTTTCAGAAAAAAGATTTCACAGTTTGTTCTACCATCAGCATTGCAAATATCTGGATTTTAGAAAACAAGCAAGTCTCTAAAAGACAATCCACAGGACCAGCACTTAACACAGTATCACAGTTCAATTTTTGAGAACATGGATATGAAATAATCTGCTTATCATAGAATGCAGAAAAAAAAGGAATGGAGGAGTTATGAGAAGATTCAAGGTGAAAAAATCTGGCATGCATGTTGTGTATTTCACCCTACTGTCTCTCTGTAACTTCACTGGTACAGTTATGAATTACCTTATCATTAAAACAAGGATGCTAATTTTGCTTTCGTGTAAAATAACCTCGTACAATTTCTCAAATCCATTTATCCAGAAGCCATCTCTGACACAAAAGCTCACAGAGTGAGATCCTGTCCACTCACAAAATATACACCAGAATATGAGCAGGGAGTTGGTGTGGAAATAGTAAGCTTGGATCTTTTGCCTGATCTTTTCTGTACCCTCTGAGACTACAACTAAAAAAACCCAACTATGATAAGAAAGTCAGGTCCTTTTTATATCAATACATACTAAGAAATAGAGTAAACACTGACTTTTTAAAAATTATCTACACATTTTACAGTAACCTCCTTATAGAAGTTCAAGTAAGAATCTCTTCTCGCTCCCCCCAGAACCCATTGCCTGTTGTAACATTCTACTTGGGAGGGATTAAATGCAGACATTTTGATAGGAAAATGCACAAACACAATAGAAAAAAATAATAGTGTTTACTCAGTAACTTCCCTGTGCTCCATTTTCCCTTACATTTCTGCTTTGTTCCTCGGTGCTTATTAATGAATAGGAAATCCCTAGAATTCATCTTATTTTTATTCAGAAGGTGAAATGCATAACACACATACAATGCTGTAGCTAAGCAACCATGCCTGACCATGCCTGAACCTTTTCAAGGGAAGATTTTCAGAGTTGTTAAAAACGTGAAAAAAATTACTTACTGAAGCCATACAGTTTAAAATGGCAGGAGAGAATGCATAAATACAGACTATTTACTAGCATGCTGATTTCTGTTCTGGTTTCATTTTTTAATGCAATTGTTTACTATTTCTAGGAAGACAAAAATATTATATAATCCCTTCTCCTAATAACAGTCAGTTTCATTAGTCAATCCCATCTACCTTTAAATCAAAGGAACATACAGGTTTGAAACACTGTGATCAGGACTTAACAGCACAAGGTACAGTAATCAAAGGCAATAAATATGAAATGACAAGCAAATGCAGATTTTAAAGATCAAAGAAACAGACATCGTATATGAACAATTATGCACAGATGGCTTTTCTAGTAAGTGAATACCAACACCTAATCAAAAACAGAGATATTAAATTTAAATCTCTGAAAAAGCACAGGTTAAAAGCAGCCACTATGAGCATGGATTTGAAGAGCAGAGCATTCTTTCAGAGGAGTCAGCTGACACTTCAAAGGGGGCATAACATTCTCTGACATTTCAATCTGAATCCATGCCTAATTCTCAGAATTCAGATATGGCTCTGGACTAGTTTATAAGAAAACTGTAGAAGTAATTGCTGATCATCAAAGGAGAAACAAATCTATAAGATTAATATCTTTGCTTCCTAAAAATAGTGCAGCTGATTATACTTTAATCCTCTTTGGAAGGAAAATTTTGATGGCTTCTATCACACTCTGTCTTACAGCCAGCCATTTACATTTTATACAGGATTCACCACATCCAATTGTGCTGCTCCTGTAATTTTATTAACTTCACTTCCTGGTATAAATTGGTCTCAGGTCAACACCAGTGAGACAGAACCTGATTTTTAAGAAAAGTACCACCTCCATCACCGAGGCAGAAGTTTCAAAAAGCACTTCAGTTGATAAAAATTACTTAAAGTCAGGCATGTAGAACACTACACAAAATTTTACAGATATGTAAAAAATCGTGTTTATTAACTCAAAACTAAGTTTTCTTCAGTCAATTAATACAGCACATAAAGAACAGAAGCAGCAGCATCAACATGGTACAATTTCAATTAAAGTAGCAGCTCAGGTCCAGTGGTACCTGCTTATACTAAAGCACTACAGCCTCTGTATCATATTACAAATGAGCCTAGTCACAAACCTTTTTTGCTTTCATGGGTAGCTAAAATTGCAGTAAGTACTTTAAAGCATTTCCTACTTCTATGTAAAGTAATAGTTTCAATACAATTCCTACAATTCCTATGTCTTCAGTGACTGCATATCAGTATTATGGACTGGGTGAAAACAATAACCATTAACTGTGTTTAGTAACATCCCATCAGAAACACTGGAACAATCAAGCCTAAAAAAATTGTAACCTGGACTTCGAGTTTACAAAGCTGAATATCCTTGGAACCATTAGGAAATCACATGTTTCAGTTTATGGCTACAGGACTATGAAAAAACCCTTGCCACAACCATATTTGAATAGTAATGAGCAGTGTAAAATCTCAGCTCCAATCAAAGGAAGAGAGTTTTGAGAAATGATCACATGGTGATAACCTGTGTTCCCAGCTTTACATTTGAGCTTACATCATTTTCAAAATGTTTCCAAGATTATTCATATAAAAATGTGGAAACTGCCTCAGTTTGACTAGACATATGCATATATCAATATTGTAGTTATTAAAATAGCACTTGAACACAACAGTATGCAGAAGGAACACGAGAAATTGATTTGATCTGAGTAACTACATATCTCCAGAAATCACAATGCACAATTTTAATGGGCAACAAACAGCTCAAGAACAATCATAGCTATTTGCTTTAAACCAACAATAGAGATGCTGATCATATTCCGAAATTTTATTCCATGGCAGTTTTATCTCCAGCTGCAGGTTTAACCTGTATTACTGCCTAACATCACAGAAAGTGGAACTGCTCTGTCTGCTCGAGTGTCATAATGGTTTAGACAGCATGAAAAGGGAGTGAACCTCCAGAATTATTTTGTGTGTAATGATGCGGAACAAAACAGACTTTACCTTGCCCCTTTTAAGAAACAATGCTGATCAAAAACAGCATCTGAGAATTCAATTTAAAAATTCAGTCAAGTAGTCTGGCACATACTAAATATAATTTTTTCCAATTACAAAATAAATTAAACAGTCATATCATTAAAATGGAATGTGTTGATGTACAATGTACCCTGCACTATCTTTGTCCTGATTCACATACCTGTAACTCAGTAACAGCCTCTAATAACCTTTCCAAACCTTGGGGTAACACAATACATTAGTTGAGATCTACATCACACAAAACTTTAGCTTTTCCTTTAAGTTAGCTCACACAAAATCAAATTACACTTTGTTTTTTTATTTCAGAACATATTATGTAGGAGACAAAGAAAAGACAAGCTGCCTAGGGTGTTTTTCCCCTCACAGACAATCGAGGATTCTCCAATTTTTCTTGTAATTTTTTCAGTATCAAAGAATAGCAAGGAATGACTTGCAACCTAAACCCAGCATTTGGAAAAGTTATCGCTTCTGGAATTACTTGGCAACCATGAGCTGCAGCACTGGCATATAGTAAGAACACAGTGAGTTTGCTCAAACAGCTCCTCATATGCTGTACATGCATCACTTGTCATCTCCTAGAAGACCTGGAAGGGCTGCTGCACCTGGGAAAGGCTCATCACTGAGTTGTGACCATATAAAGAAAAATAAAGTTTTCAAAATGCAAGGACATACACAAAGTGAATGTGAATTTCTGCCAGGAGACAGATTCCAATTTGTGAAAACTGTTATGAAAAGTTCACTCAAGTTTTCATCCTTAGGTTTAGGTCTATGAGAATAAGATCCATCAACAATCTCAACAGGATGTTCATGGTCCACACTGAAACCAAGACAGAAAACAAATACCATCATATATCACTAACTTTATCTCTTGACTAAAATTGGCTTTCCTTGGTCTCCCATCCAAGTACTAAGAGAGCCATAGAACTACCAAGAGGTGACCATTTGCTGTACTGTTTATACTCTACTAACCAAGAGCATTATTAATTTCAGCTATAAAGTTCATTATGAAAAGAGTCTCAACACTCTTTTTCAGATTGTTTTCCACTACAAAAGGAAGAAATGGTGATAGACTAGAAATTTCCATTAGGTATATTAACAGCTATCTCACAGGCCATATGCTGCTAATATTAAAATTCACCAGAACCACAGTCCATCCCACAGATCTTCTCTCTCTGAACTTCCCAGAAGCAAAATGCAGGATGGCTAACTCTTCTGAAGGTGACAGTTTTGCTTGATCTCAATCCCCCCTCATAACTATTTTACATAATTAAAAATAGTGAGTATCCTCAGGAGGAATGATGGCTGGAATCAAGTTGTTATCATGAGACAGCTCACTACTAAACAACCAAATCTCCTTCAAAGAATGCACATGTAAGAATACCAAAGAGTAGCTTCATGAGCTGGTCTACTGGCAGGAAATCATCACCCTGTGATGTGTGTGCTGTCCAGACCCTGGTGGGAAGCAGGCAGGAAGTGCATGCATGCACTGTGTAACGTGTGTGCAGCAAGACCTGTGCTTCCCAGAACTGCCATACTTACTGCACAGGGACAGGCACTCCAGCCATCTCACAGAACGGGTACTCGACAGCACTCTTTCATTTTTGAAAGACACTTTGAGAAAAATCAATAGTTTTACCCAGAGTAAAAGGCTGAACAGAGAAAATTTCCTATTTTTAGTTAAATCCTGAAGTAATAATGTGGTGTCTCATCTTGCTAGCTGTGAAATGAACCTTTAAACACAATTAAGCAAAACGGTATTTGTTAATACTAGGAATATTAATACATAGGATAATAATTAATTAATGATAAGGAAAAGATCTTGATAGAGATCTGTGGAAAAAAAACACCATATTTCTATTTTTTAACAGACAACTGAAAACAAATCAAAACAAGCTGCAAACTGCTGTGCAGGCTTCCAATTTTTCTTTATCTCCTCAAGTTCTTCTATATCAGCTTTGGAAAAGTGGTATTTATTTTCTTCCTTCTAAGAAAAAAATTCCTTCAGTAAAACAACTGGTTATTACATTAGGTGAATATATATAAGAAATGAAAAGGATGAAAAGAAACTGATAGAAAAATCAAAAAGGAAATGAGCAGCCCAGAGAATATCCATATCCTGTGCCGTGAACCTCATTACTGTATTAACGAGGAAGGATTTCTCAGCTCTCTATCTAGTGACAATCTGGTTTGCAAATGATGAGATGATGGAAGAAACCACAGGAGAGAAGCTGCTATCAATTTCAGTCTGACAAGGGTAGGCAACAGCTTCATCTGAATCCCCAAAGGAATTCAAGAGAGTAAAAATGAGAGTGAAGGCCAAGATGGCAGTGAAGGCCAAGTTCACTGGAGTGTCATACTTTAAATTTTATTCTTCAAGCACTGGTAAAAATCAACCTACTTTATTCTGAAAAAATAACTTTACTCTGAAGCAGCCATTTCATGGCTGCTACTCTCCCTGTATGATCCCTGAAGGGAAATTCCTATTGGACCTAAAAGATGTTTCACTTGGCAGCCACAGAACAGAGGTAAGACAAAGGGTGGCTGGGTTAGTCTCACCCAAAGGGACAAGACCTGCTATGGACAGGGTGTGCTTCAAGGACAGGAAGGTCTTGTTGTTTTCTCAAGTTCTACTCAACTATTTCAATCAGATTTCTTAACACAATGTAGTGCAGCTCTTGCCAGTTCAACATGAGAAATTAATTAGTAACAGAGGCACACACACACACTCAAGTGTAGATACAGATAACGCATTTTTACAGCAGACATGCTGATAGTCACTGCAAAAAATCACTGAGGTTTTCCTTGTTTTGAATCTTTAATTTTAAGCCTTAAATCTTTTTAGTTCAAAGATCTGAAGGGTGGGTGGGAGAGAAGAGTGGGAGAGCAGGCTAAAACAAGAAAGCAAGTGCACACCCAAAGATAATTTTCTGTTTTGGATTGGTCTGCCATGAAAACAGCTAGTGATGTAATTCACTCTGTAAATGAAAAACAGTCATTAATCACTACATTTCATACTTGCCCACCAAGTGATACAGTGATTTTAAGTAACTTTCAAAATCTTCTTACAAAGAAAAAAAACCTTACCTCAGTTGTTTTGCATAGTTTTGCTCAATTTCTATCCTCTCTTTTACAAATTTTGCATATTTCTCCAAGAAGTCAATGCCCCACTGCGTATGCTTGTCCAAGTTATCAAACTGATCCTTTAAAAACAGAAGGAAACAAAATTAACCAGAATTAGTTAAGAATCACAGCAGCACCAGGTTTACACATCATTTATTTATAAGCTGTGCTCTAAGAGAATGTTGCTACTTGGGTAGAAGTCATTCAAGTAATAAATCAGTCAAATATGTATATATACATATCAGCCATATACCAGAGCAATAGGTTTCATGTGCAGGAACAGATCTACCTTTTTTTGTTAAAACAGCTCTAAATACTTGCATGTTAAGCAGTAAGCACTCTTTCATCACTTTCACAATGTAAATCTGTCTTTCTTTCCTCTCAAAACCCTTTATTTCAAAAGTGAATCTTTTCCACCAAGACAACAGACACAATCAAAGACCACTATCAGATAAAGAGACAGCTCACAGAAGAGATGCCTGGCAGCTTTGAAATGCAAGAAGTTATAATTTCATTGGATACAAAAAACTACTTTCACTCTTACGATTACCCACTGAAAGTAAAAAAAAAAAATCATTAATTTTAGCAGCATGACTAAATTAGGTGTAGTATGCATATCAAAAATATTTATTAAATCAAAACTATATGCACAGCTCATGATCAGCTCTAACAGGAGAGTCCAAAGAAGGCAAACCTGTCCTTAGTAATTAAGAAAATTATAGCAATGTAAAGGCATAAAACAAAAAGTAGAAACAGTAAAAAATAAACTACATTTGAAAAAAAACAAGTTGGGCAATTTCTAATACATTAAAAATTCAAAACCTATCTTTCACTGCACTCCATACTGATCAATAGGTGGAGGATACACTAATGAGGACAAGTTGAAAAGTCAAAAAACAAGTTGAAATATGGGGGTAAGGAATTAGGCAGGAGAAAACAAAGGTCCAAAATACCACCTAGCAAACACTTTTAGTCTAACACATACCTGCATTTTATGCTACAATAACCTATCACAGTGAAAAAATCAAGAATTTTTACCTTACAATAGCATTTAAAATTAGCAGTTATTTAGCAATCCAAAAAGACAAGTAATTGAAACAAAGTTTGTGTCCTGTAGAGGTTGAATCCAAATATACTCCACAGTAAATTTAATAAAAAGCAGAAAAAAAGCAAAGGAAGCAATTAAGTTCAAAGTTTAATTAACTTGCACAAAAATGCTCTGAAGGCTGTTTATCAGAGACCATCTCTTGCAGACTCAGTAGCTTGCCTGAACCTAATGAATGATGTAGACTTCTAGCATTAGCAACTTAAGTTCCATTTCAATGTGCATTAGGATGATCTACAGCTAAACCAGAAAATGCCATAAAATGCTGCAAGGCCTAAGACTCAAGGAACACACATCCACTTACAGAGATACCAGGTGAACACAACTCTATAACCAAGGCAAATACAAATAACATAACAAGGTGAAGGCTGCTCTCAAACGGTGCCTTGCAGGTCCCAGTATCCTACAGCAGGGACTGAACCACAGCCATTAGTGCCAGGAACACTTCAGTCCAATGGCATGCAAGTACTGCCACCCAAAAACATCCATCCTGTTCTACCACCAGCCTCTGCACCACTCTCTCCACCCAAATCACAACCACTTTCCCTGATGTTTCACCACAGAACCACAGACACAGGCAAGAGATGGGAGAGGGACTAAAGACAACATTTCCATGTATTTGGGAAACTACGGCCTGTATCTTGCATTATTCTCATATGTGCACTTTGCACCAACTGGACATTTCCACTCAAAATATGTCAAATAAAGTGACATTTCTGCTGCTGCTTTTAGAGAAGCTGCACATGCACTGTTTGAGTGTGGGAACAGGGAGACAATCACCAGGCTGTGGCGTCAAACCACATTTGCAAATATGCATACAAATACATCAATCTTAAGAAGCCTTTTTTATACTCCACTCATTTGTGTAATTACTCTTACAAAATTAACCTAGCATCCAAAAGTAGTCAGTAAAAGATGCTTTTGGCATAAAGTCAATACCTAATACCATTAAAAAGAACTGACTTCCTTCAGCACACAGCAGAACAAAGCCTTTGCTGTCCTACTTAAGCTCTTTAGACCACAAAGCTCTCATTTGCTGCTAAGGTTTCATTAGCATTAGGGAACACCACATTACTTATGTTTCCAAACATGCAACCAGAGACAGTGGCTTTCCAAATATTTTGTTGAAACAAAAAAGGACTCCACTGCTCAAACTTCTTTCAAGATCTGCTATTTATATGAAAATTACATTTACACTGATCACATGACAAAAATTTCTCTTTTTTCCCCCCCCTCAGTTCTTTTTCTTCATTTGATTCTAGAAACATGAACAGTATGTGCAAAGACAGCTTTGTTGGATTATCCCATAAGCTTCACAAGTTTTCAAATTCTCTACAAACAATAAACCAGTGAATGAAGGTCTGCAGTCACAAGAATCACCTGTTCTGTAAAGCCACTGAGATAAATTAGCAAAAAATAAAGGCAACATCAACGAATAAGCAAAAAAGGACTGGCCTTTTCAGAAGGGGAGACACAGACTTTTTCCTCTTCACACTCTGTCTTCCAGAGGGGAGACACAAATTTCCTCATTTACTTTCCATCTCTCTCCAGAAGCTCATATTTGAGCTCTGGGCCTCGATTAAGCAAAAAGTTTCCTTTTTGTACCAGCAAACAGTAAATCGTCCAGACATTGCTACAAAGGAAATCAAAGTAATGCACCAAGATACAAGTGATGTCTTCAATGGAGAAAAAAAAAAGGTCAAAAATCAGCCAATGCTGTACAGACAAGAAAATAGACCAAATAGTTACAACAAAATTTAGGTCTGTAATTTAAAATAAATTTATCAGTGTATTAATTTGGATAGGTCCTTTATAAGAAATATGAAAACTGCATTAACTAGAGATCAGCAAAAGGTTATTAAAAAAAAAAAAAAATCACATCCTACATTATCTGGCTATCTACGCCTTGATAATGAAGTATGTTCTCAAGAATATTTCCAAGCAGATATATATTGCTGTTTATCTAGTAACTGCCCACACTCCTTGGCAGCTGAGCAGACAATTTCTGTAAAAAATTTTATTAAAACTGCAGCTGGCAATTATTAAAGAGATGAAGGTCAGCTAAGGGATGGTGGCCCTACATAGAAACTGCCCACTCAAAAGTGGAATGTAGTCCCAAACTTGTCCATTACAAACAAACAAATCAGACACTTGACAAGAAGTTTGCAGTAGGTCAAAACAGACTATTCCAAAACAAATGTCACCTACCTAAATTCTACTCCCAGCTCATTTATTGAACCACAGATCAATGTTATGAACACTCCAGGTCTGCAGTTCTAAACTTATCACTTGTTTGCAGGCACCAGCAAGCTTTACAAAAACAGCAGCTGAAGCATCAAAGCCAAGAGCGAGCCTGACTCAAACCTGCACCCAAGACAAAACAGACCCTCCTGAGTTAAAATCAGCATTTGCTCTCCTCCTCTTACTGACACTTGTTTTTTTCCTCCAAACGAGCCTCAAGAACCAATAAAAAGAAAAACATGGGAGATGTCTTCAGAGGGATGAGCACACTACAGCATCAACACCGGACGTTTAGTCTTCCCTACGCTACCAGTCCAGACACTGGACTAGTGTGGGAGTTTCGAATAAAAGGCATTAAACAAGATTGAGATTTTTAAGGGGATATTCTCAGCTTTCATCAACTTCAGAAAGCAATTCTATTTGCATTTAAATCTAGGATTGTGAAATCATTCTGTAAAATAAAATCCTTCTGTTTCACTAATTTATTCCTTTACAATATGTAAACTAGCTAACTGCATTAACATCGAATTGCCTTCAAATTAGTCTCCCATTTCACTGACCTCCAGACAACACAGCTGAAAATTTTAAGAATCACATTAAACATTGAAGTACATTGACTTACAAGTTTCAGAAACCATCTCAATTAATTACATCTGCAATATCTACTTAATAAAACATTTTATTTGAAATGTGGATACTTTGCATTAATTATTCTACCATCATTTTATTCCCTATTGACTCAACTGTACGTCATTACTTCCATACTTTCATCTGACCACAATTTTAGTCTGCAGTTACCCAAGTGATCTTATTTGCACTTTTGAAGCATTGGCTCAAGATGAGGTTTTTTTCCCAATTCTTTGTTCTCCAAGCTGTACAGCCAGTCTAAACTTCCAAGTCAGCAAGTGGAAGATTAAAAACTCAATCCTGTCTTTTGCTCTCTAAATTCCTAACCCTTATGCAGGCTGGTGTAAGAAAATATGTACTATGCCAGTGCTGAGAGCATGGAAAAGCAGCAATCAGGCCTTGGTTCAGGAAAAAAAAAAATTCAAAACGCTTGGCATCAAAAAAAGTCCCTGCATTTCTGGATATAAATGTAGTATTTTATTATCATCTTATGAATAGCCATGAGTTACTTAACCACACAACTACAAGTCCACAGAAAGCCAAGTGAGAAAATGTGGGTGATTAGATAACTCAATACCAATCTTAGCAGTTCTTGTTTACTCAATTAATGCCCATGAGGGTTTATCAAATGAACCTGAATTAAGGATAAATTTAAATGATAGGTTAAATTCTGCATAATGTGTTTTCTTTCCTGCATGAGCAGCACTACAGAAGAAAAAAAGACTGCTCCATAACACCCAACTCTATTCAAGAAGTTAAACACTTTAAGTTACAAAACATTACAAAGTAACTATTAAACATATTAAAATTTTATAAAACTCTTATTAAATAGCTGAATTATGAAACATTACGCAGCTTGGATTTTATTTTTTTTTATTTTTAGATAATGATCAAGGCCTTCAAATGATTCACTGTTTTACTTGGAGGTATCTCCAAGTATTTCAAAAAACTAAACAAAACAAAACAAATCTTGCAGTGTTTGTACAAAGAACTACCTGATGCACTATATTAAAAGTTATGGGAACCACGACTATCCATTAATATATTAATGAGAAGTTACCAGTATAATACCCTATACCTTTCCCTATTTGTCTTCAGGACAAGTTA